AGAGAGAGATGGGCGCTGTACTGAGATGGTCAGCCTCCTGAACAGTGAGTCCTGGTGGTGCATGGTTGTTGTGTGGGGTGGCCAACAGCAGTTTGAAACCACCAGCAGCTCCTTGGAAGAAAGACGAGGCTTTCTGCTCTGGTAAAGAGTCCTGGTCTTGGAAACCCACAAGGGCAGTCCTCCCTCGTCTGACTGGGCCACTATGGGTCGGAACTGACTCAATGGCAGTGAATTTGGTTGGAGAGTTTGGTTTTAAATGGTGGGGAAAGGAGCCCTGGCAGTGCTGTTGGGCGAACCATAGGCCAGTAGTTCAAACCCACCAGCCGCTCCAAGGGAGAGCGATGAGGTTGGCTGCTTCCGTGAAGATTCAGAAAGCCTTGGGAACTCTGCCCAAGGTCACTAAGGGTTGGTATCGGCTTGGTGGGTAGAATTGGGGGATTTGAAACTATGAGAAAATTAATGTGTCTGTTAAAGGAAAAATAAAAGCAATAGTTACAAAATCAGTCTGTCCACTATGTTTTCCTTTCAGTGACAAACATCTGTGTCTGTATTATGTGAACACATACACACACACACACACACACACACACGCACACGCACACACACACGTGTGTTCTCTACATCGGTGAGGATCTGGAAAGACAGACACCAATTCACCACGACTAATAGTATTATGATAACTCTGAGAAATGGGGTTGGGTTGGAGGAGAGACTATGATTAGTGGAAGAATTATCTTCTCCATTTGTTCTTAAGCGATGGCTTGAGTTGTTTACAATAGGCTTGTATCATATTTATAACCAAAAGGATCACATATTTTATAAAATCCAACTTACGAGGGAATGCAGGATAAATAAACCCCTCAGAGCCAACAATGAGAATAGAGCTAGCATGAGGATAAGGGGAAGGTGGGTGGAGAAAGGGAGAATCGATCACAAGGATCAACATAGAACCCCCTCCCAGGGGACAAACAATAGAAAAGTGGGTGAAGGGTGACAGAGGACGATGTAAGATATGAAAATAATAATCTATAATTTATCAAGGTCTCATAAGGGAGGAAAGGTGGGGCAGGGAGGGAGGGAGGGGGGAAATGAGGAGCTGACACCAAGGGCTCAAGTAGAAAGAAAATGCTTTGAAAATGATGAGGGCAAAAGATGTACAGATGTATTTGACACAATGGATGAATGTATGGATTTTGATAAGAGATATAAGAGCCCCCAATAAAAGTATTTAATAAAAAATAATAATAAAACTGCAAAGAAAGTAAAATGTGACGGTAATTTAAATGCTTTTTAGTAATCATACGTGAAATTAAAAAAAAATACAACCTACGAATGTTTGCTCCCAAATAATTCTAAGTTGAAACACCAGAGGGTTTCGTTTTGATCTTCCAAAGTGTGTGCACCGAGCGCACAGTTCCCTCCAGAGCTGTGACCAGTGCCTCCTCTGGGGCTGCTGTTGCTCATCAACAAGGGCCACATCTCTGAGCTCCAGGGCCCATGAGGCCAACAACACCCAAATCAGAGACCATCTCTGATCAGCTGGCACCAACACTGTCAGTCCCCTCGGAGTCCCCCAGGTTATAGGACAGCAAGCTGTCACTAAGGGCCACTTGGCCATGATCTGAAGCTATACTTGGCGCAAGAGGACAGAGCATCTGCCAACAGCACACTTGCCCATCTTTGGAACACTCACCTGAACAAAGGTACACAGGATGAAGAAGATGAGGTTTAGAATGGACAGTCCGGGGATGATGTTGTGGTCCAGGACCATAGCCTCATGGGGCTCTTGGCTGGGGATTAGCATGTAGATCATCAGACCCATCACAGGGATGCCGAACACCAGGCTGCACAGGAAAGACTTCTTCCACCTGGGAACAAGCACAGCCACACAGGCACCACCCTCCTGAGAACTAGGGTAGGGACTCGCCATTGTCACGTGTCTGGGCAAGGCCACCAACGGCTAAAGCAAAAGAGCTCTCTCCCTGAGCCCAGCCACCCAGGGATGGTGTACAGGCCTACACCTAACCGCCCCAAAGCTCCCAAAGAGACTAGGTCCAGTCCTTTGCCTCCATGCAGCCGATGAGCTATTTCCAGTGCACAGGTAAGAAGAGTGTGTCCAGAGGCCAAGACCAACCCCAGAGAGGTTTAGCATCCTTGTATATGCTGCCTATAGCTCTTAGTTCAAAATGCAGAAAACTGATATGTCATGTCTTACCAATACCAACCCACAGACAGGTTTACATTCAAAGAATTACTTAAAAGATGTCAGTGACGATGGTGACAGCCCGTGATGAAGACCGCAGTTTGAAAGCAGGGGCTGTTGGTGACAGGCATGGCCTGACACGGTCGTTTGCAGTCATGACAAGCTAACAAAATGGCGGTGTCACGTCTGACGCACCTTCAACAATGGGAGGCCGTCGGTCAGCAAGACCAAGTCCCGCCCCTCTCAGGCTGATGCTCAAGTCTGAGAGTCAGCCCCTTACTAGCTTCCAGGTCCCTCTCCTTGCTCCAGGTACACCAACCAGGGCAAACGATGTGTGTCCCCAAAGACCTGTTCCCTCTCTGCCACCATGGCCCCTAGAAGCCCCTCTCACCTCCGGCCTGCCCTCCTCCCTCAGCTCAGCAGAGGTCTGCTCATCCTGTGAGGCTCAGATCATGGACCCCCCTGCTAAGAGGTCCCCTCGACCTCTCCTCACCAAACCCACTTGAACCCCAGTTCACGCACTGGTCCCCAGTCACACCCGGGGCCTCTTAAAAATCGGGCTGACATTCCATACCACTCCAGTACGGCCCTGTTCACACGCCAGCCTCACTGCTGGCTGAGTGAGTACGTGAACCCATGAAGCCAGGAGTCTGCGCCTCCTGATTCCCAGGCCCGTGTCTTTCCACTTGGCCACGATGCCCATCCTCCGATCCCTCTGGAGCCCTCTCAACGGATGGCTTGAAACTTGGCACAAGGAACAGGACAAATGGACATTCTAGCACTTGTTCCCGATTTAAGTGCTGTGCAAATTCATTGGCCGCCTGCCACACGTGATAAATAAAGCGAAAATGAAATCCATTTAAACATCCAGTCTCTCAGTCACATGAGCCAGATTTCAAATGCTCAGTCGCCACCTGAGGGCAGCTCAGATACACAAGATTTCCACCCCCGCACAAAGTTCCATTGGGCAGCTCTCCTCTGGATCTAGGGCTGGCGAGCCAGCTGGGAGAGGCCGTGGGGAGCCCAGGACAGGGTGCAGAAAGGGCCAGAGAGCTCAGCCGACAGAGGAGAAGGAGGAGGTACTTAGACAAGAGCTTCAGTTTTACTTTTCTGTTCTACCTACTGCTTTATTTCCAGTCTGTGGTCCAGGTGATGAGCGTTGGGGTCTCTCTGGGCCAAGGAAGCATGAAAGCCAGTTTCCTGGTTATTAAAAAGAAAGGGGTGGGGGTGGGGGCAGGGAGTAAGGCAAGTGGTTAAAATCAAGCATTGGAAGAAAGCTTTTACCAACATCATGACACATTATTCGAAATGATCAATCAAGGACTCTTGCGGGACTCCCTTACCCAAGCTTCCCCTCTTGCCCACAATGCCCCCGCCCCCTCACACCTGTGCTTAGAGCTGCACACCCACAGAGAGTGGCCATCACTCCTGCTCCTCTGGTTTGCAGAGGCAACAGGTCCGAGGGGAATAGCTTTACCAGGCCCCAGAGCTGGCCCATGTGGAGTCAGAGACCAAGAGTGTTTGAGTTCGTTTGGGAATCCCAAACCTACAATGGGTCTGAGCACGGCAGCCCTCCACACAAGGAAACTCAAGGTCAGCGAGGTTACAGAACTTGCCCAAAGTCACAGCCCTATCAGAAGAGCCAGACCCATGCTCAGGTCCCCACCCTCCCAGACTCTGCTCTCCCCACCCAGAGAACTCACGCCTCTGGTGCCAGGGCTGCGTAACTCATTCCTTTGGCTCTCAATGTGGCCTGACAGTCACTGTGGCCCCATCCTGTTTCTTTTGGAAGGATGGACTCAAGCACTTCTTTTACCTCTTCACTAACTCCATGCTACCTGCCCTCGGTCACCTGATCACTAAGTTCCTGTCCTGCTTTCTGAACAGACAGTAGGCATGAATGCCAGGAACTCTGCTGCCCGCCCCCCTCTCTGCTCCACAGACGGGTGAACCTCAGCACTGGGCTTCGATGCAAAAATAGAGGCTGTGGTGGAAGAAAGGGCACCGAGGCAAACTAAAGACACATCCCTTCACAACCAATCCTGTTAGGAAAAGACGTCCCAGAGAAATACAAGCAGGGACGATAGACCCAGAGCCTGCTGCACCAGGCTCCACCAGGGCCAGGCGGAGGCCTGCAACGGCACTATCATGAGAGGCATGTTCACCTCTCCCTACTGCTAATTCCACCCGTCCGACTCCTGGGTCTCATTCCCGCCACTCCAGGAGTTGTGGGGGAAATCTGACAGGTTGCTGCACCTTGAGTGACAACATTGGGATGTGAGCTTCAGTGGGGCCCTGTAGCTGGGCCCCTTTGAGCAAGGGCACTGGACCTTTCTGAGGGGCTTGCCCTCTCTCCAGAAGGCGGCTGTGTTGTCTGCTTCCCAAGGGCGGGGCCTTGTCCCACCCCATCCTCAGCACCGGACATCAGGGCTTCAAAAAGGCTCATGGGGCAACTCCATTGTCTTTTTGTTCCATTTTCCCATGGACTTTTTGAAGGGGCCTCATGGTTAAGTGCCCCAAATCTCTGAGGCCCTCCAACAGACAGCGCCTCCTCGAGAAGACAGAGTTCGCACACAGTGAAGAGAAAATCCAAGGTGTTAACTTGGCGACAAAGATGCTGCATTTCATAAGCCACTGGATTCGGAGTTCCTGCTAAACAGGATGTATCGTGACTTGTGCTTGGTACAAGTCAGTTCCTCTTGTTCAGTCTTGGCTGACTATCACAGCCTACTCAAATCACCAATAAAGCTCTTTTTTTTTTTCTTCTTCTCATTTTCTTATGGTCCAGTATCATAGACCTAAAACAGGAAATGGCATGTGTCTGGAAAAACTGAGGGAGAAAGCTGAAGGCAGGGAGGGGGTGCATGAAAACCATGCTAACCTGTTTCCCAAAGCCGAAATGGCAAGTCACCCAGTATAACAAGCCTACGTCCATGCAGTGTAATGATTTCCAAGACCAAGCACCCTTACTTAATCCCTTGTGCCAGAGAGTGCGGCTCTAACGATGTCTGGGTTCATAGCTCTTTGCCACTAGGTCAATCGTGACTCCTAGTGACCCAGTGCCACGGAACAGAAAGGCCCTGTGGGTTTCTGAGCTGGCAAATCTTTACAGGAGTAGAAAGCCTCACTTTGCTCTCATGAAGCAGCTGGAGGTTTCGAACTGCTGCTCTTGCCAGGTGTAACCCTCCGCACAACCCCAGGGTCCCTTGTTTAATTCACATCTGGGATGAAAGTGACAGCACCCCCCTCCCCCATCGGAGGGCCACACCTATTTCCCTTCAAAGTGCTTGGCCCTACTTGGGCCAGGTTGGAGAGATTTCGGGGATCTTCATGTTTCTTTGGACTAGGCTCTCATTTTTCCACGATGACATTCTGTGTCACACAATGGCAGGCTTACTTGTATAACGAATGGCTCACCTTGATGATTTTCACAATATCCCGTGGACCGATGATTTCGGGGTCAAACTTCACATGGGCTTTGCTGGTGGCGAGGGCCACAGAGGCGTAGGTGATGCCGTGTGTCCTCGTGAGCTTGGACTCGATGTTGTGAACACAGGAGGCGCAGGTCATCCCTCGGATCTGTAACACAGATGACAGACATCCCACCCACGGAGCGGGGACAGGGCCCGACCCAAGGCACCTTGGGGAGTTCTGGGGAAAGGCAGCCACAAGCCTTTCCCCACAAGACTTTAGGCCCCCACCTCCAAACTCCTGGGGCACAGTGATGCGCTTCCCCACTACAGGCCAGAGCGCCAGTCCATCACGGAACACATGACGGCCGCCTGGGCTGGACTTGCAGCTCTAATAACCATGGTGCCAACCACAAGGTCAGCAGTTCGAAACCATCTGCCGCTCTGCGGGACGAAGACAAGGCTTTCTATTCTGTAAAGAGTTACAGTCTCGGAAACCCACAGGGGCAGTTCTACCCTGTCTTCTAGGGTCACTGTGAGTTGGAATCAACTCAAAGGCAGTGAGG